TAGTAATTTTTAAATAAGTATGCCTTTATTTCTACCTTTTTCTATGATATTTACCAACAGGCAAGGGTGAACCCACCTTGAGTGTTTCGTGTTCTGACAAAATAGCGAAATGGTAGAAAAAATATTTCCAATCGTTTAAAAAAAGAAAATTTGAGAAAATGTTGTTTGAATTTATTTTTTTTAGGAATGTTTTAGGCATTCAAGGAGCACTTATCTATTCATTAATATCAAAACCTATATATCTATCCAGCTTCACTTTTGGCGTTGATGAAAGTTTTTGCAATATAAAAGCTACACAAAGGGCTTTTTGGAAGCGTTTCGAACCTTATCAACTCAATATTTCAACAAATTTTTCTATATGTAAACCTAAAATTCAATGCGCGAATGCGAATTTTATATTTAAAGAGGAATCAGATCTTAAACCATGTCCCTCCTCTATTGTTTGGTCAAGTCTGTAAGTAGAAAAAACTCAATATTAGTAACATGAAAACAAAGTAGCAATTTATTACGAAAATTCTTACAACAGTATCGAATTGTAGGACCACGTTGTACTTTATTTAAAATTTATATTTAAAAATTTTTTGGTCTAGATCACATCAAGTTGCACTTGGTCGTTCAGGAACCAAATTGGGCGTGACAAAAAAACAAACCAAAACTAGCAACTGTCGTTTGAAAATAACGAAGATTGAATTATTCAAAAAATATGCAGAGATTTCTAGAAAATACGGAATTGATTCCGACATTATTTCACCTTCTTGGCGATATTGTGATGCAAAATCGAAATCTGTTGAATACAATACTGTTTGGAATATTTTGAAAAAGAATTATTTCAAAGAATGGACGACAAAGCCAGAAAGTCTTGAATTGTTCTGTTTGTCTGATATTTAGATTTAGTTTAGAACGATTAAACCATGATTCCAATAAATAAACACTAATCCTACTATTCCACCAATCATTAATATTAATATTATTATTTCATTAATAAATATTATCGGTTAATCCTTTTTTGAAATTTATCTTTATTTATTTTGTCTTATTTTTGTATAAAAATCAATTTGTCTCAACTCTCCATTTCTGAGTTTCACTTCGTGAATCGCATTCTTGGGCAAATATATTATCCTGTGCGTTCAACCCGCTATAATCTAGGCAAATATTATTAACAACATTTCTAATTTGACTTGAATTCTCTAAGAATTCCCATTTTTCATTATATGCGTCATTATCAAAACATGCGGCCATTACGACATAACTTCTTTTCGAATAACTAAAATGAAATTATATGTAAATATTTTAAAATAATTTGGTTATGGTTTACTATCGTACTTTTGTTGTATTGAAGCACAAGATAATTCATTTCGAAGAACACCTTCGCGAGTTATTGAAAAGAATTGTGATCGAGTAATATTTTGTGTTGAACAAAAATAAACACCTAAATTGTATGGTTTCTCGTTATCTTGTTGTAAGTCGTCCAAGCAGAGGTTTTGATTTTTTGCAGAAAATCTATTAAATATCGTTGAATTCATTAAAACGTTCATCCATTGAAATTAAAATCTTACCTTCCATAAAACTGAACGTTTCTGTTCGGAATAAACTTTTCTAAATTAAAAAGAAAATATAAATTAATTAATAAAATAAATTGAAAAATTGAAATCCAAACATATACCTGGGTAAATATTTTCTAAATACCATTTGAAAGACTTGCACTTTAATTTTTCTCGCAAAATTCGTCGATGAGTTATATCACCAACATCAATATTTAGAAGATCTGGCCGATTTAGAAAAAATAAATCTATATATTCATCCCTGAAAAATAACAGAAAATAATGAATATATATATATATATCAGTAATGTGCGAAGAGGAGGGGGGAGGAGAATTCACCCCCCTGTGATTTCAAAATTATTCGAATTTGCTAGAATTTTTTGGAATTTAGAAAAATTCTTCCGATTTTCATAAAAAAAAATTGAAATCAAACCCTCCCCCTGAGAAATTTTGCTCGCACATTACACACACACATATATATATATATTATTAGGGTGCATCGATTTTTTATTTTTGAAAATGAAAAAAACGGCTAGTGCGGCTTTTGTAGACCTGGTCGAGAGAAACAACTTTTGAGCTGGCACTTTGGCCTACCTAAGGCCCAATTTTGGTGCGGTCGATTTGAAGTTCGACATTTTTCAAATGAATTTTTTTCAATAAATTTGTATGAAAGTGAATTGGTTAGATAGTATTAGCGGAGCTCTATAAGATAGGCCCATCACAAAAATGCGCTTTTGATATTGAATTTTAAAACAAATTAATAGCAAAATACACAAAAAAATTAGAAAATTTGACAAAAATATAATTTCCAGGGCGCTATTTTGCTAGGATTACACTTTGAAGGTGCAGCAAAGTGCAAAAAGGGATAGAAATGAAAATTATGAATACGTGGCTAAAGGTACATCATAATTACTAGTTAATACCAGAATATAAACATGATGTGTTTAGTGTAATGGTTCCGAATGAAAAAACAAAAATTCATTTTGTTGACATATACTAAACATAATTCTAGTCGACAAGTCAACAACAGAATGAAATTATTTTTTGGCTTTGGTAATTTTTCATCAAATTTTTGCTCCGTGTAAAATTTCAAGTCGATGTGTGAACATTTAAGCGAAATTTTTTAGATTTTGTATGAAATCCAATGCTCTGATTGACGAATGAGTTCTGAAGAAAAGTTTGCGGGAAAAAGGTTTGCGGCGAGTCATGGTGCTTTAGTAAATTTGGCATGCGGAATTCAAAAAAACCATGAATTTTGAGCGAAAATATTGACGGAAGCATATGTTTTGGATGACTTTTTTAAAAATCGATGGGCGAAAAAAAATTTCGTTGCAACTTTTTTTCCTAAAAAATCAAAAGTGCATTTTTGTGATGGGCCTATCTAATCCTATCTAATACTATCTACAACATTACTAAAACCAATTCACTTTCATACAAATTTATTGAAAAAAATTCATTTGAAAAATGTCGAACTTCAAATCGACCGCACCAAAATTGAGCCTTAGGTAGGCCAAAGTGCCAGAACAAAATTTGTTTCTCTTGACCAGGTCTACAAAAGCCGCACTAGCCGTTTTTTTCATTTTCAAAAATAAAAAATCGATGCACCCTATTATGAATGGGTAAAAATAATCATGAGCTCCAAACATTCGTTAAAAAAATACTGATACAAGACGATGAATTAAAATAAATGAGATACTAACTCGCGTTTAAAATAAATCTGATACTTGAAAGATATTGAAAATAAAAGTGGTATGTATCACATTTATTTTAAATTCGTTCAAGTATCAAATTTATTTTCAATTCTGGCTAGTATCTCATTTATTTTAACTCATTTGTGCATTATACCGAGTGACCGAGAGTTTCATATAAGCCTTCCCATGTAGATGGTAAAAAATCGTGAAAAAAGAAAAAAATAATTAAATTTTTTTTCTTCGATTTACAAATACTATTCAATTTTCTGTACCATCTGGTGAAATTCAGAATGAAAAAAATCGCATTCCCTATCACCCAAATGACTATTCAATTGGCATTCGGTCACTATTCAATAGGTGTTACATAGGAAGTTTATATGAAACTCTCGGAGACTCGGTATAGAGCTCCCAAACAGTGAAAAAGTCCAGATCGTGATTTATATGATATAGGATGCGATTTTTTTCATTCTGATTTCACCGGGTGATACAGAAAATTGAGTAGTATTTGTGAATCGAAGAAAAAAAAATTAATTATTTTTTTCATTTTTCGCGATTTTTTCACCATCTACATGGGAGGCTTGTATGAAAAACACGGAAGACCGCTGAAATGGCACTGTCACACGTCCGTGTACGTATTTTTCATTTGCCATTTCATATTGCGGTCTTCCGTGTTTTTCATACAAGCCGCCCATGTAAATGGTAAAAAATCGTGAAAAATGAAAAAAAATAATTAATTTTTTTTCTTCAATTCTCAAATATTTCTCAACTTTCTGTATCACCTGGTGAAATCAGAATGAAAAAAATCGCGTTCCTTATCATGCAAATCAAGATCTGGATTTTTTTCACTTTTGGAGTGCTCTATACCGAGTCTCCGAGAGTTTCATATAAACTTCCTATGTAACATCTATTGAATAGTGACAAAATGCCAATCGTGATTTAGATGATAAGGAATGCGAGTTTTTTCATTCTGATTTCACCAGATGGTACAGAAAATTGAATAGTATTTGTAAATCGAAGAAAAAAAATTTAATTATTGGAAGTATAAATTAAAACGTAAGGATTCGTATCTAACTTCATATCTTTCACACATGCAATCGTTTGGACAGTGAAAGCTGTTGTATCTTAAAGAGCGTCAAAAAATCTACTAAATTCGATCTGTCAAAGTGAAAACAATTCTGCACACACAAGTTTTTTATTGCGATTAAAATGTCGAATTACGTTCCAACAAAACAGCATTCGCGGGAAGCAATGCTTTTGTACTTTAATCAAAAGAATAGTGCTGCTGAATGTTATCGTTTGTTGTCGGAAACGTATCCCAAATATTCAATTTCAATAAGTGTATGTGAAAAATGGTTTAGAAGATTCAGAAGTGGTGATTCTGACACGGAAGACAAAGAGCGTCCAGGCCAGCCGAAAAAATTTGAAGATGAAGAATTGGAATTGTTACTCGATGAAGATCCATGCCAAACGCAAGAAGAACTCGCTAAATCATTGGGAGTTACTCAAGCAACCATTTCACAACGTTTAAAAGCATTAGGGTTCATCCAAAAATTTGGAAACTGGTTTGCCGCACGAATTGAAACCGAGAGATGTTGAAAGGCGTTTTACCATCTGTGAAATGCTGCTCGCAAGACAAAAAAGCAAGTCATTTTTGGATCGAATTGTTACGGGCGATGATAAGTGGATCCACTACGAAAACCCAAAGCGAAAAAAATCATACGTTCAGCGAACCAGGACCATCGCAAGCAAAGGAAGATATTCATGGTTTCAAGGTAATGCTCTGTGTTTGGTGGGATCAAAAGGGTATCGTGTATTATGAGCTGCTGGAACCGGGTGAAACAGTCACAGGAGATCGCTATCGACTACAACTGATGCGATTGAAGCGAGCATTGGACAAAGATCGGAAAGAATGGAGGGGAAAACACAACCGGTTAATTCTTCTTCATGACAATGCTCGGCCACATGTTGCAAATGTTGTCAAACAATACTTGTCGACAATAGGATGGGAAATTCTACCCCACCCGCCGTATTAATACTTGTTTCGAACGATGTAAAACGAATTGGCAGGCAAACGCTTCACTTCTTCGCAGGAAATCGCAAATTGGGTCGGTTCGTGGTTTCGTTCAAAACAACAACCATTCTTTTGGCACGGAATCCATGAATTGCCTGGAAAATGGGAAAAAGTAG